CATCTACTGGACATCAGATTTCTCGTTCGGGGTGGCTTCGACACATCACCAAGTAGAGCCCTCCAAGTTGGGCCCCAAGTAGGGCCCCAAATGGGCTCAGCGGCTCTGATGTGGGCCTTTTCTAGACCTTTACATGATGTTTTTTTTGTCGACCCCGAATTCGGTGCAGGCCTGCATGTCCTGGAGGGGCGCCGTCGACAGGCCAGCAACTGTTTTCGGAGAAGGCAGAGGCTGGGCACGGACCATTGATCTGCAATGCAGGCGGTGGTTTGGGTGCCTTTTGCTGCAAAGAGGGTTGATCCAAGGGCTCTGAGGAAAATCCACTTCCGGCAGCATATCCAGCTACTGAACAAACAGCTTTTTGGGCACTTGAATGACTTGGATGACTTATGTCTTGAATGGCTTGGATGGATCCTGTTTTGATGTCCAGAAGTTGCAACTTCACAGGCGGATTCCAACGCTTTTCCGCTTCGTGCTTTTGCTGCGTGTCCATGATCCATTGACCTCTGCTGAGCACCAGTACACCGACCACGTACAGAAGACCGAAGTCCAGTTCGACCATCTGGTTTTTACCGTTTGTAGGATCGCAAAGGATCTGCACAAGGAAGTAAAGGAAGTTCCCGCCGTCAGGTCCGCCATTCATCAGACCATTCTTTTTTATCATCTTGTGAGGCGTCGCACCTGAGTAACAGAGTCCATTCTAACCCAGAAACAAGAGTGGGGCGCAGGGGCCCAGAAGTCTTTTCCGCTGCTCCCTCATGGCTGGCGCCTTTTTAATCTTCGACTCCGAAGGGCGGCATGAAATGTTTTCTAATAGCGATGCCTCCAACCCAATAGCGATGGCCTCCAACCTAATAGCGATGGCCTCCAACCTGCGATGGCCTGCATCAAACCTACTAGCGATGGCCTCCAACCCAATAGTCATGGCCTCTAACCTACTAGCGATGGCCTCCAACCCAATAGTCATGGCCTCATTTTCCACAGCGTCCAGTCCTCCATCTTCACCCCATATCCAAGACGCTCGCTGGGTGCTTAACTCGTCCGGGCTACTCGTAGCCCGGGTCGGCTGTTCCGGCACGGTGCTCGGGGACCAAGCACGGTGCCGGGACTTGGTGGCACCCATCTTCACGAAGAAGAATAATAAGAAGAAGAATAATAATAATAAGAAGAATAAGCAGAAGCAGAAGCACTTTCTTTCAACACACCGTGGGTTGAAACAAGAGATTGGGACAAGGCTCAAAGCAACATGTAGACTCTTTTGGAACATTTGAGTATTTCCTGTAGACTTCTTCTCATCAGCAAGGTCTTGTCGAGCAATTTTGGTGGCTGCGCAAAAAGCCTCGCGCCACGCTTTGCATGTGCGATTTTGACGGGGGAAGCTTTTGGCCCCCTGAACCTATGCAGGCAGCACTCGATTGGCTGTGCGGCGGTTTTCCAACAATATGCGGTTCAGATGTTCTCCCAGCTTGTCCAAGTGTTCGTCACATGTCAGTGTGCATTAAAGTAGTGGGACCTCCCAGTTCGACCGCCTGGAAGAGAGAAAATAGACTACCGCCGATCAAAATACGCACCCATATAACCCATATGTATATATATATATATGTAAAAAATATATATGCACATACATACATGCGTATAGAGTAGAACTGGGCATGTGCCAATTGAGTTCTGACTGGCTCGGTGCGCCTCTGGTGGATGCCGGCTATGTCCTGGAGGGACGCAAGGCCGGTAGACCAACCAAAGGAGCCAAGGCCTCAGTGACGAGAAATCAGTCTGCCTGGGACATGAGAAGGTTGTACAACAGCTTATTTTGGGAGTCCGAGGGGTGAAGATGGTCTTAACTTTAGGTGATCTGAACAGGGATGGCCTCTACTTCCATGGTTCCAAATATCGTCTTTGGACTTCTAAGCGCAGGAAAGAGAGTATCAGTTTTGGGTGTTCCAGTTTTTGTCAGTTGGGTTCTCGAACCATGGCTTTGGCAATCCTCAAATCTTCATGCACGAGTGCAGGTCCACTTACACCTTCAAAAAATCGTGATTGAATCAGCATAGCTCTTTTCAATTCTTTAGAGAGCACTCTCCAGATTCTCTTTTAGACGTCTACACAAATTACATTGGCATAGACCCCAGATAGCGGGTGTATAGGTCATGTAAAGGGACATGCCACGGACGGCTGTCACCGCAGCGCGCGACATCAGACCAGTCCACCAATATGCGCACCATCTATTCGCAAGATCGGCAAGATCAGCAAGATCGGCAAGATCGGCAAGGACCAGCCAAAGCTGCCCAGACGACATGATGATCATTGCTGCGCAATACGGTGTCACGCGCAATATGACGGCATGTCATCCCTGGCGTGACATGATGTGGTCCCTGGCATGACGTGATGTCATCCCTGGCATGACATGATGTCGTCCCTGGCATGACATGACATGATGTCATCCTGGCATGACGCAAATCGCAATGCCGATCCAGAGCCAGCGCCTGCACCAGCACCAGCACGGCACCAGCAAAACAAAACGCCGAGCCAGCACCAGCATCAGCAGGGCAGCAGCGGCAAAGCCAAAATGCTGGTCCAGAACCAGCACCTGCACCCGCACCACCAGCATTAGCACGGCAGCAGCACCTGCAAAGTCAAAATGCCGATCCAGCCAGAACCTGCACCAGCATCAGCACGGCAGCATCGCATGCAAAACCAAAACGCTGATCCAAAGCCAGCACCTGCACCTGCACCAGCATCAGCACTGCAGCAGCACCCGCAAAGCCAAAATGCCGATCCAGAGCCACACCATTGAGAAGTTAGAGCCCCTATAGCCTGCAGCTATCTGGGAAACAAGGTGCGTTAACTCTCAAGAATCGCCTCTTCAGAGCCCCAAAACCACAACATTTGGGCCAGGTGTTCATGTCCGGAAATGGCTTCATCCGAAATCACTCAGCATCTCGGATTCAGAATCTCGGACATGGCCATTTGATATCGACTTCAGCCCGACTTCAAACCAACCTCGTTTCAGAAGAAAGCGACTGCCGTATATAGACCGTCAGACTAGCAGACTCCCACACCCCATACGCCGTGCCACTTGGCCAAACAGATTCATGTCCCAGGCAAGCCCAAAACCGTCCCTGTCGAGCCATCTTCCAGTTGTTGCTCGCAGGGCGGCCACGTCGCAAGCCGCTGCCCGCGCGCGGGGCGGGCGTGCGGAACTCTTCTTCCGCACGTCGGCATGACAAATCCGCGTGCGGAGTGCGGGTGCATGGCGAAGACGTTGTTTGGGGTTTGTTCTATGCTCATCATTTGCGTCCAACGCAATTCATGATTTTGGGAAATTGAATCCCCTTATTGCTGACCACCATCTCATCCATTTGGTAAATCTCTTCAGAGCTGACAAACTTACACATATAACATATACATAGATCTTCCAAGGATGCAACATGTCCGCCTTTTCATTTATAGAACCAGCCAAAGGCATAGTTTTTGCCTAGCTGGACGATCCAGGTATATATAAGTCTCTTCTGAGGAATCATCCACGTCTCGAATGATGCTCTCCCACAGATAGGATGTTCTGGACTGGTTGACACCATGGTCTTTGGGTCTGACACGTTTGGACGGCCTGCCAACGGCGTTCAAGTGCAATGGTCAGATGCTCATGCAAGCAGGTGTTGTGTTTTTTGGATCAGGCATACTTTCCATTCCATAGATCTACAGTAGGGCGAAATTGAGGGATGACATAGGTGTACGCGTCATTGCGCACGGCGGTTCAGAATGCTTTCACCAGAGACTTCCTGTGCACCGCGGACCAACCAATGACTTGTGCATCCTAGCCGTTTTTCGTCAGAATCTTGGAAACGTCACCTGTCGGTTTTGGAAAAGTCCGACCGGCGCCTTCTGGTAGCTTTTGGTGGAGCTCATAAACCCTTAGGTGTCGGAAAACGGATTTGCAAGATTCATCCGTGAGTCGAAGCGGTTGTTTTTGCCCGGAAGTGGGTGTCCGAATGCCGTTCCACGGTCAAGATGTCCTTGATCGAAGATTTCTGAAAGCAGATGCTGGTTCTCCGGTTCCCACCACTTGTTTTTTGCGAAGGGTTTTCCCACGTCAAGCTCCCATTTCTCGACAGAAGGCCAGGGAAAATGCTGGTCTCCCCACTCCCCGCCTTTTGCACCCAAACAATTTCTCCCCAACACGATCATGTTGGCGAATGCAGCGGAACGTTCTTCAACGAGCATGATCGATGGGTCCAATCAAGTCCTTTTCCCCCACACGCACCTTCTCCGCCAAACCGCGGGATCAGTGAACCGACGATGTCGGATTCCAAATGGAGGGGGGAGGGCCTGTTGAGGGCCTGTGTTGATTCATGAATGAAGACAGCGAGGGCAGGGCTGTTTTCTTAGGTACCATCCAAGCACCTGCGGGTTCCACACCATGAGTCGTCCTCATTCTCGATCAGAAATCCAATCGCTGGGTCATCGAACCATTTTTGAGGGGTCATGGAAGAAGCGTGAGATGTTGGCAAGCTTTAACACATGAAAAGGCAGAGATGTTGCATAGTTGGAAAATCTACAGTAGGTATGTTTGATCAAGGCAGCTGGGGGGAAGGGGTCTGTCAAACGCAGTTGACCCTGGACTCAACCCCTGGCGGTTTCATCACGGGAAGGCCATTTTGCATGTGGCTGGAAGGGCATCCAGCCTTTTGCGACCAGGTTTGACCGCCCCCAGACCCGGCAGGCAGTCGAACACACCGAGTTCCTTGGTGTTTTACATGACCACGTCGACTCATAGGCCCATAGACGATACAAATGCAGCACTCGACAGGTCTCCTTGTTCGAGGGGTCCCGAGAACACACAGCATGAGTTGACCTGGTCAGTCATCTAAAGCACCAAGCAACTCGGAGTGTTCGACTGGCTCAAGGCGGCTGGTCAAGACCACCGGTCGAACCTTCAGGTCAACCTGAACGCGGGCGCATCGGCGGGCGACGCATTTCGTCGGGCAACTCTCACGCCGCCGCTCAAGCCGGCGCGACGAAGAAGTTCCGCTCCGCCGGCAGCTTTGGAGCGCCCGGTTTGCGCGGTCGGGCGTCCAGGAGAGGTTCCGAAGTTCGTCGCGTTTGGGGAGATTTTTGGGGAGAAGATATGACGAGTGACGCGAGACACCAAGTCTTCGTTGGTTTAGACCATTTCGTGGCTGCAAACGTCCGAAGCACGACGGCAAGTCCAGACTTGTTGTGTACTCTGAATAGCATGTGGGAGCTCTTCAGACTTGAGGTTGCTTCCTTCTTCCAGATCATTGTTACTTGTACCATGCTCGTATCCTATTTGCACTCACCTTCAGAACCCGTTCGGTCACCAGCCTCATTGGGCATCACCGAAGACGTGAAGGAAGACGGCCTGGAAGGAAGACGAGAATCAGCTTCGTGTGTGACGAGCTGCGGGGGGAAGACGGTCCCTTTTTTCTTTCTTCTCGGATGCACCACGTTCCTCTTCAGAATCCTCGGAACACGTGGACGGCTGGATGGCCCCGTTTTCCTGGACTCGGAGGAACCCGTTCCTCTGAAGGAGTGAACTCACGTGAACTCCACTTCCAAGCTTGGCGACTCGGAGTGCCCACCGAATGGTGAAAGTCAGCCACAGATCGAGAAAGACAGCCACCAGAGCCACCGGAGCTTTTGTTGGTGGCCTTGATATGACACGGACTTCGAGGTCACTGAAACTCCCAGCGGCATACTCATTGAAAAGCGACACGGATGGGGTGATGTTGATTGGAAGAAAGGATAGGTTGGAATCCCACAAGTCCAGGTACGGGGGCGTTCTTCACCAAGACTCTGACTGACCTTGCTACGTTCGTAGCAATGCCCTGGAGCTCCGAACGTAGCGTCCTCATGTTCCGTTCGCAGTAAGGCCAGGAGCGCCCCGTTCGTAGCGATGCCCTGGAGCTTCGTTTGTAGCGATGCCCTCACACCGGATCCAGTCTCTCATGAGGTCCGGCAACCTGATGGCGGGGGAGCTGGCGGCTCCACGCTGATGTGATCGATGAAACCGAACGTCCCCAGCCAGTGGATCAATGGCAGGTTTGGGGGGGGCACTTCTTCACAAGAACCGAGCAAGAAACATCTCTGAAGGGTTTCTCTTCACAAGGAACCATATGCTTCTTCTCTGTCCAGATGCATTTTTTTCACTCCATCATTCTATAGACCCTCATTCACCAGTCACCACTCCTACCAGTCACGGTCCGTTTTCAAAACGGTGTGGGTCGGTCTTCCCAGGCCGACTCTCCTCGGTGACTCGACTCTCCTCGGCCGAATCCGAAGAGGATCGATGAGAGTCCTGCTGAACCACGTGAAGAGGCCCGTGAAGCCCGAGATCCTGGAGGAGATCTGGACGACCTGGACGAAGAAAACACAATGATGATCAGAGATGAGAGATGTTTTTTTGGGAGGTTTCTTCAACAGGAGGACTGGTGGAGATGTGAGGAGATTGGAGATTGGAGAATCCACTTGACGGATCTTGAAGGTCTTTTTTGAAATACCTTTCGAGAAACAACACTGGTCTATTGCTAATCTTGGCTGAAGGGTTTGGAGGGGATTTGGCATCGGATTGAATCAACATTTGCAGTTCCCGTTCAACACAACAAACGAATTACAACAAAATCACAGTCCGCGACCTTCAAAGCTACCAGGACCTTCAGGATTGTCACGAAAAGTCAAAGGTCACAGGCTCAGGTCATCGCCAGTTCGATGTTCACGGCTCAGGTCGTCCCACCCGAAAGGGCCGACCGAAGGTCTCGCGACTTGCGACTCGCGGTGTGTCGCCCCAAACGCCGAACCGACCGGGTGTGTCGCCCCGAAGGCGTCGTCCCACCGGCGCGACCGGTCCAGGAGCTCAGTGACATGGAAGAGACCTCGCTGGGCCAGCTGAAAGTGCCGGTGAAGCCGGACGCGGAGGCCTTCCACGACGAGGCAGGGAGGACAAAGGGCCTCCAACCTAATAGCGATGGCCTTCAACCCAATAGCGTGGCCTCCAACCTAATCTCCACTCCCTCTATTTTGCCTGGTGTGTGATAAACCGGAGTAATTCGGTTGGAGGGAGTCCCCTGTGGAGCCGTCTCATCAATGGCATACATGGCTCCATACTTCCTTTGGGCCTCTCGCAGAAGCAGATGTTTGGACTCACTTCTGCAAGGGATTCCACAGAAACTCTGCCTCAGCACCTGCGAAGCTTCCTCAAGAAACATCCCTTTCTCATCTTCTTGGCCATCAATGCCCGCCAAAGACTGCTGCTCTGTCAAGCTTCGTGTTTGGGTCCAATCTGGTCTATCATGGGGGTGTCCATCATTCTTCGGTGCTGCGACAGATCTTCCAACTGTGCAAACATCTTTCCCTTTTCATCTTCCGCAATCAGCCCAGTTCCGCAGAACTCACTGAAATCACCGAAACGGACGCCGTTCGGCAGGGGGACCTCATGGAGTCTCCGCTGGGCACGCCTCGCATTTGCGGGTGGCTCCCTGAGGACTGGGGTGGGGGGCTCTTCCCCAGGGTGTGTCGGACCCCCGTGTTCGACCTGGGAGGACCCCAGGGAGGACTCCAGGGAGGACCCCAGGGAGGACCGCTGATGGGTTTGTTGGGAGGGGTTTTCGGGGCGTCCCCCACTACTGGGGAAGCCTCAAATGGCGTTGATCCGGACGTCCGAGTCAGGACACAGGCCCGTTCCGTGTCAGGAAACCGTTTTGACAGAGTCAGGGCCCTCAGGGTTGACCCAACTCATAAGCAAGAAGGACAAGGAGGAGAAGGAGGCAACGTGATGAAAGGAAATACGGAGCAAGAAGCTTTCAGGTTTTGGGCTTTAGGCTTTGGCTGCCAGGCTGGGAGCGCCTGTAGGGTTTGGGTTTTGGGATTTAGGATTCGGGCTTTGCCACAGAAAGTGGCTATGCTGTTTAGGAATTGACATGGTGTGTGTTCTTTCGCAGGAGCGAGGAGTGGTTTTGAAGATGTCAATTTTGGGTGTGGGTTCAGAATTCCATGATTTTTAGTTTTGTTGATGCCGTTTCTGGCTTTAACATTTTTGCAATTCTTCGGACCAACCAGAGTGCCCCCTCAGTCAGAGTGTATGTTAATGTTGCATTTTGGCGCCAACATGAAATTGAAGGTGCAATGGAACAGATCGTCGCACTGTTGTCATTGAAGGCAGCAACCTGGGCAACCTGTTTTTGATTGCCCATGTATAGTTGCCACCGCCCTCATACCACGGCTTCTTTTTTTACATAAACTATTTAAACATGGTTCCAATCCCAAGCAGTGAGGGGCCAGGGGGCTTACGCTTTCTGTCTTAAGCCTAGGCACGCTTTCAAGAAACGCCACCCACACCCAGGATTCGCCGCATCACTTGGCCCTTTCCCATTCGGCAAACATCGGACGCTCGAAGTTTTGACACTTGTTGCTTGCAAGGGGTTTACGCTTACCACCCCCTGACCCGAGGGGCTCACGATTCCATGTATCGAGTGGTTCACGACGCTTCACGTTGGTTTCTCAAGCCTGACGGTTTGTGATATCCAAACAACACACCAGTCGAGGACAAGCATTTGAGCTTTGGTCCATTTTGCTAAGGCTGCTGAGGTTGAGGAAGCTTTTAAGTCCTTCACAAACACCACACCATTTTTGCCAGGAGCCCAAACCGACCGGGACGAGCATGGACGACGTCAGCACCATCGGCACGAACAGCCACTCTTCGCTGGAGTCCACCTGGTCGTCAAGTACTGTGGACGGCTGGAATGGAAACTACAAGAGGGTGCAGAAGAGGCGGACTTGGCGTGTTTGAGCAGGGATCTTTTCTTTGGCTTTGAGAGACATCACCAGATTTGCAACATCCTACTGAGTTTGGCACACAAGTTTGTGAACTGTTTAGGACTGGAACAGTATACAGCTGGATGGCATCTCAAAGAGGCACACAGGTATGTAGATTGGGTCTGGCCATATCTGGCCATTTCCATCCTGATGGAATGGATTGGTAGTGAGCATACCGAAAGACTTTCAGGAGGGAGAAACCCCAAACTTCAGCAATCATCGAACATCATCGAACAACCCCGAAATTGGGAAGTGCCAAACAAGGGGACCCGACAGAGAAACCAAACGGTTTGGGTGTTTCAACAGAACTTTCTTCCCACGTTTGAGAGCTGGCCTTTCGCGACACCGGAAGAAGAAAAGGTTTGAGACTTCGGATTCCCACAACGGGGGGTGGGTCGGAGCACACGGATTTCCGGTTTTGAAGATGTGACTGATGGCGAGTCCAAAGAGGAAAGAGTTGTGGGGTGACTGATGGGGTCATCCAACTGGTCAGGTCGGCAAAGAGGACTAGTCTAGTCGCACTAAAGGGATTCCCAGGTCGCACAAGAGCAAAGCTGTTTCAGCATGGGCTGGCATGGAAACAGAGGGCTTCACACAGATCTCTCAAAAAAGTAAGCAACTATATTGCAGTGTTTGGAGGGTCTCCCACTTGTTCATGTTCTATCGCCCGCTTGGTGAGCGATCCCATTCCACCGTTTGCCGTGAAATTAGCGTTCAAGAACTTGGAAGATGAGCATTCCACCTTCACCGTTTCTAGGATCCGACCAAACCCTGAAACTTCAGAGCTCTTCACCACCTCGAATTCTTTTCGTGCTCGATCCCACCGTGTCCCCGCTCGTGCGCGTCGCTTTTCTTCGGAGTGCACGAGACGTCCGCCGAGTGGGTCGGTGCAACGAAGGGGGCTGGGTTCCTTGAGTTCGTCCTGTTTCGGGCGGTGAAGACGGTGCTGTTTGGGGCTTCGCAGACGGTGCCCCCCCGAAACGGGGGTGGCCCCCACACGGAAAAGACCTGTTGCTCAGTCTCAAAACTGCAAGCTATGCCCAAGCATCTGATGCGGTAGGGCATCGGGCAACAAACAGTCACCTGGCCCGGAGCGATCCGGGGCAAGTGAGATGGGTGTCCAGGCAGCGGGATGAGCAAGGTCTGCAGCAGTTCCTGAAGCAATTTGGGTGCGCGCCCAAGTGGGGGACATCGTTGGGTGCGTGGTCTGAACGGACGGAATGAATGAAGGAGGGTAGGCAGGCAGGCAGGCAGGCAGGCAGGCAGGCAGGCAGGCAGGAAGGAAGGAAGGAAGGAAGGAAGGAAGGAAGCAAGAAACGTATGGACCTCGGGACCTGGATGGGCCTAGGGACTTCAAGACCAACTTCTAAGACTTTAAGAATATGTTTTACTCATTGGTGATAGAACATCCCAGTTGTTTCTGTGCGAAGAATAGATGTTATATAAGTCTAAGCATCGGGAGGAGTTTACATTATTGGCCATGGCCGCTGACCTTTCGATGGACCGGCCTGTGGCTCGTGGCTTGACGGACCCTGTTCGCCTTTGACCCTGTTCGAGCACGGAACATCCCGAGGGATGGGCTTCCATTCGCGATGGTTCCATCCGAGGGATGGCTTTCCGGTCGAACTTCGTCGAATGGTGTCGACCCCCCCCACCCCGTCTTGCGACTGGGAGGTTCTGAAAAAACATCGGTGGGTCCTTCAGCATCTTCGGCCCGCCGGTCCATCGTTCGTTCGGAACCCGAACTGGGGGGACCTCTTCGGAGCGATCTGGTCCGGAGCGATCTGCTCGTGGCACGGGCAGGTTCCAGAACTGCACCGCGTCCAAGATCCACCGGCACGGAGCGTTCCGGACAGAGGAGATCTACCCCATCCATGTGGCCGCCAGGTGCGACGGGCCGAGGGACCGGTGCTGTGTAGGGTTACGGTTAGGGAGGTTTCTTGGGCAAGAGATGATGGGTAGGGTCAGGAACTGATCTCAGCTTGACTGAATGTTGATCATCACCGTCATCACCCCAAAACAAGACTGAATTGCGGTTTTCAGGACGAGGTCCTGTATACAGGGATGTGTGAAGGTGTTGGATCATGAAAGAACACGTCATTGGCGTTCCGAACGCCACGAGCTAGTCCCACATCTTCAGATTGGGGAAGTGACGTCATTTACCCAGATCCACCCCAGGACAGGGATGGAACAGCATGGCAAAAGCCCGGAGGTCCGCTTTGGGGCGGTTTCGACGGTAGGATGGGCTTTTCTCCTTCTCCTTCCGTATGGGCTTTTCCCTTGGCGAATCGCCGACACCTGCGTTTCTTTCCCACCCCGCAGGCTCGGCAATTATCCGCTCCTCCGATTGCTGGTCTGTCGCGGAGCTGATCCACAGCAGAAGAGCTCTCAGAATCGAGTGCCCATGGATTTTGCGTGGGAAAGGGAGGATTTGGACACTGAGGGACAGCAGATCATGGATTTCCTGAGCCTTGGTGGCTGAAGCACCGATCTCTCTTTTTGCTGTTCATTTTTTGGGCGCCTTGGTGGCTGCATGAATTAGTAATTAGTAGTTAGTACTTAGTAATTAGGCATGTAGTCACAGGCATTGGTGGTGGTTCTCCTTTGTTTCTGTTTGCTATGCAGAAACGCATGGTGGCCAGCCATGGTGGTCAATGACCCTGTGGAAAAAACGCGCGACCGATCCGGACGACCCTATCCTCCTGACTTCCTGGCCACGTGGGGTCACTTGGTCCACAGCTTGGCCTGCCCTGGACGAGGCTTCTGCCCGATGCCCTCCAGTCGGGTGCTCCAAAACACTCAGTCATACGGCTGATTGCGGCCTTCAAGGGGACAAAGCGGAAACCCAGGAGGACATGGTAGACATCAAAAGACTGCTGCATACCACTATAGCAGGTGGTGAGCGAGGGAGCCAGGGCCGCCGCTCTCCAGTTCTGAAATTTAAACAGCGGTTCAGCACCACTGGCTCCCTAGAAGTCCCAAAACTTTATTTTGCCAAACTGAAGTACAGGGAAGTTGCTCGAAGAGCCACCGTCCATTCGAGACGATTCTTTGAATAGTCTTGGACTCCCAGGGTATACATTTGCATACCAGCATCCATTTTGGACATTCGGACTCACCGAGTCGAGGGAGATCAAGCCTTCGATTCAACCGCTCACAGCTGCACATGGGTGTGTAGACAAAATGGGGAAACCATCGAAAGACCCCTGGAAGAAGGAAAATCGATTAGATGATTAGAACCCATTGGTTGGGGATCTCCCTATTAAAATGCACACCCAAAGAACGAGCTGTAGACAGTCCATAATTATTTTTGTTGATATGAATGGTTCTGAATGGTTCATTTCGTAGGCCCTGCTTCTACCCATGGCCCCCTCTTTGCTGTAACCGAGATTCTGGCCCAGGAAGAGCAAGACAAAGATCGTGTCCATGCGCGAGTTCCAACAGATGATGAAGTGAGGAGAGTGGAAGCGATTGAAGTGATATATATATATATATATAGATGTATCATTCTTTTCTCTTCCTCCCCAGACGCAACTGACGCAACCCTTTTTCCGGCCGGACCCTCACATGTGGACCAGTGAGCGCGTTTGGAGCGTTTGGGTGGGGATCTGCTGCTGTTCTTCAAAGGTGCAAGGTGTTGGTTCCGACCTCAAGCAGCTGCCGTTCTTCCTGTCGTTCTTCCAGGCTTGTTCGTGTGCGTCATAAAGGGCACCTAGGATCATTTGGTGATCCTCTTCATTCTGCGATGCAGCGGACCCCCAGCTGTACAGCGATGAGCCGGTCTTTCTCAGGCAAAGACTGAATTGACTGGACTCGAAAAACGAGGAAAAGTCAAGGCTCTGGGCTCTGTTGGGCCATTTCCGGGCGCGGTTGAAAGGACGAGGAGACATAAGGATGAGGCGACGTTACCTGGTGAAGTCAACTCAGTTGAAGCAACATTTCGCCACCCAAGCGACTGAGTTGAAGCTTGACGGACTTCCAACAACAGAGAAAACAGGACTAACAGCACTCGACAAAGCGTTTGTTGTTTTTACTCTTTTTTTTTCTGATCCTCGCATGATGGTTCTTACCGTAAAAATGGTCGGTCTGTGTCTGGCACTGTCCCTTCCAATGATGGGTTCGTGTCCCTTCCTCCGTGCCCGTGCGAGACGGCCAGACGGCACGGGTGTTTGGACCCTTGCCGCGGTGAAGAAATCAAACTCAAACACACCTGGAGATGGCCATGATTCGCTGAAGAGTATCGCTGAAGAGCGACGTGAGGAAATGGGAGGTGTCTTATCTTCCAAGATGTCTGAATCAATTGCATCATTGGACATCCAAGAAATGTCACCTGAATCTAAAAAGCATCTAAAAAGTAACCTCAAGAAACATCTGGCAGAAATGCTGCCCTGAGTCTTATAGAAAACAATCTACAAGTTGGATACCAAAAGTGGGCCAGTGACCCAGGTGGGGCAAGTGACCGAGGGTTCCTTTCAATCGAGTCTTATTAAGATTCATGTGGTGTTTCGGCTTTGCTTCCAGAGTTTGGTCGAGAGTCTTTGCACAGCATTTCATCCAAAAACACCAACCGGCCCGGAAAGAGCTTGTGGTGCCAGTGGCACGCGTCCGTTTTCCACGAACGTGACCGTGTCTATTGCGATCTTGAGGGGTGCCGAAGTGGGTGCGACTTCATGTTTTCTGCACGATGGGAGACTACGCTTATCCAGCTGTTGATCGTCATCCTGCACGAGGCACCTCTGCAAGGGTTCTAAGTGTTTGCTTTCGCAGGGATCCCACTGAGAAGCACTGAGCTTCCTCGAGCTGGAGGCCTTTGCCACCCTGTATGAAGCCTGGCTAGTCTTCGAAACGGTTCGTCTCAGTATGTCCGGGGAGCTGGCACTGAGGATATAGGGGGGTCTTAGGGGGGGGGGAATTGGCGGTGGTTTGGTTGGTGAAGTCCTGCTTCTGCGATACCAGGCTGAGGGTTTTGGCGAACGAGTTCCGACTGATCTGGGAGAAAGAAAGTGTGCACTCGTCCGTGTTGTTGGTAGCTCATTCTTCATTGATTACATGGTGTGCACAGAACTTAGAGCGCAGACTTGCGAGTCTCTGGAATTTTGAGACATCACAGATTGAGCCCATTTTTTGAAAAAATGATTCCAAGAGAGATCAGACCAGATCACAAGGAGAGCTGCAAGGGACTCTGGGAATCAAATGGAATCAATACATCTTCAGTGAGCTCACGGCTTAATTCCTGAATTATCCGCAAAAGCATTAAACCCTTGACATCCATCATTTGCTCAATATTTGAGGCATCGGATTTTTCCGGTACCTCTGATGCCGTCATGCACGGTAAACCGGTCACTCATCCCATGCAAAGCCAGCACTTTGGTCCATGGGTGTTGAATTTTCCGTGAAAACCGTGAGATTCTGATAGGATACGGGGCGGGGCCACCATGCAACCACACTTGGTAATTATTTTTTTTTTTAATCAAAGGATTCCAGATTCTATCACACTTCATCTTTTTGCCGTTTTTGGGAATAGGGAAATCACAAAGTCGGCTTCTTTTTCTCACAAGTTCGCTTGCGATTTTTCATTGTCTGATCTTGTGGTTCTCAGTGGCAGCGGAGTGAGGTTGCTGGCGATCGGCCAATAGCTTAGTGACGATCGACCATGCCTTTGTTTGAGAAGTTGATGAAGTTTGATGCCTTCGTACAGGCTGCTTCGTATGATCGTACAATGAGGTGCTGAAACGACCATCAACCACACCGTTCGATCCCATCGAGATGCCTTGGAGAGGGTCTCATAAATTTATCTTCCTTCGCAGTGTCGAGTTCAAACTCGACGGTGTGGAAATTCACGGATCACTGCCTTTGTTGAATGGAACTGTCATTCTGGAGGGAGGCAACTTGCAGCAAAGGAGGCGACCGGCAGGTTTAGCATTCTGGAGTTGAGCAGATCGTCGGTTTGAGGGACTTCTGGACTCAACCACTTACGCTGGGGGGGACTTTCTAAGAAAGATCTTTCCAGAGACCGTGCTCTAGAAATGGCACTGCCAGTCGAAATCATTAATTGGCTGACAAATGACTAAGATACGGGTGTGTATTTAAATAGGGAGATCCCCTGGCGGAAGGGGTAGACTGGTCAAGGTCCCAACCAGGTTGTTGCCTGGGACGGTCTCCACATTTTAATGCACACCCAGACAAATGACTAATATACCTGAGATGTAACAACCTTGGAATCTTGTGGCTTTGCAAACATCAGCGACGGAGCATGACTTGATGTCGGGCTGTTGACTCCAGGGTCGCTAAGCTTCGATTGAATTGGTATGGTTTAGGCTTCACTGGCCAAACTTGACTTCGTAGAATCATCTGTGAGTCCTTTTTTGATCAAGACGGCATAGACTGCTGTGGACTTCCACCTGAGGATCATGTTGAAGATTTTCTTTGTATCGGAAGTTTCAGAGGGACAGGCATGAATTTTCACAATCCCTTAGGCCAGAAGCTCCAGCCTAATGTTGAGTAACCAGATGGCAAACTAGGAACAATAGGTATGGCCAGGTGGTGTATCTTAAAAACAACCACTGTTTTGATGGGAAAAGGCGATGTTTTGGACAGATGATCCTCCAAAAAAAGGGGTCACCGCAGGTTCTACGTATATGAGAATCTGCCACCAGCATCGAAGCAACGAGTGTTCCAGCTATTCACTTGCCTTGCACTCATGGCATTGTAGCACCATGGCAGATCGGAAAGGAGCCACAGATCCGCCTCGCTTTGCGGGCTTTGCGGTTGAGCGGAGCCTTGGCGCTGGGCGCACTATTGCAATCCTGGATGAGCTTTTTGAAAAGTTCTTCCTCCAAAAGCCATAGATGGGAGTGGTGTGATCAGATCGCCACGGGGTCCCTGAAGCTGCAGAGCTGAATAGCTTGTCCGCACCAAAGAACTCTCTTTCCCTGCCTTCTACTCTCCGCAGGTGTGGAGGTGTGTGAGCGAGAGCATGCGGCAGTGCGTCATTGATGGTCTTTTCAGGTCTTGATCAACGCGAAGGTCGGAGTCTTGTCAAGCGCGGAAAGTCTCCAAGTGGGGAAGCGACATCGCTCTCCTCACGTCCTCGCCCCTGACTTCATCAATGAGTATGAAGACCCCGAAGCCTTCTTTGCGGGGCGGCAAGATCACCTCCATCTACCCACTCAAGCTGAAGGCCCCTCAAAGCCACGGCGGAGGAGCTGTGCAGTTCGTTTCTTGAAGAGCGCAACCTGATGCGCAGCTTGCAATCGATCAGAAAGGGCACCGGGTCGGAGGCTCTGAATGTCCTACAATGCAAAGAGGAGAGGCCGAAAAGGCAACGTCCTGCCATGCGCGCAATGATGCTTCATTGTTGCCCGGTCTTCAGAGACCTACTTCAATCTTCCATGATGCCATCACATCAGCCGATGAAGCTGGGGCACAGTTTGTCTTCAAGGCTACCGGCAGCACAGGTGGCCATTCCAACCTGGGCAACTCCAGACATTGCCAAGACTGAGGGTCTTACCGAGAGTGTCAAGTTCAGAAGCCCACAGGAATGACAGTTAGACTGGCTGCAACCACCCGATTCCAGGCCTCATAAACCTTACGTTCTCCAGTTTCACAGCCGCAACACTTTCCGTTTGCCGTCCTTCATCAGGCTACATGGGCGAATACCGCTGCCGCATCACGTGGAAGGTGTGTGTGTGTGTGTGTGTGTGACGAGACCATCATCATCATCATCATCGCCCGACGGAAGGACGACTCTCAGGTTTGGAGTGGATCAGTCAGTTGATGGTCCCACACCTGCCCGTAACCATCGCCAGCTGCTGCCTCATCTGGAACGCCCCAACATCCAGCCAATCCATGGAAAGAAGCTAAGGAGCATGTGCATGTACTCCACCAAGGCCTTCTTCCCACCAAAGGGCCTTCGCAACTTGATGCGGGGCACAAGCAGCGCCTCAATAGGGCACCTCTATCTCTTAATGGAATGGAATTGCAACCGGATGCATAGCCAAATGATTCCTTTCCAGTTGCCAACGTTCTCTTGCAGCCGCGGAACAGTTGTGTGGTGGGCCAAGGACGGTGATCTGAAAAGACCCCTCCAAATCAGAAAAGATGTTGGCCATCGATTGACAGCCTTGCAAGTCAGTGCCCAATCCACACAGACAATTGTGATACAGGTCTACCAATGTGCGATAGCGGTAAAAAATGCGTACTGGTAACATTGCAGTCGCTCTTCTTTTCAACCCCTCGAATTGTATATACTGAAGGGGGTCAGCTTTTTCCAACATTGCATGCAAATTGTTACTTCCAATATACTTGGTTTCCTTCCACTGCATGGGGCCTATTTCTTGCTTGTTTCTCTTACTCATGATGGGCCCATGATGTACGTGCATCATTTGCATCACCAGGCCCGTGACATGCAAACAAACAATTCCTTTCAACAGTTTGGGTCATTTCTCACTCCAAGCGTGCCGCTTCATGCCCTATACCGTGCACACCCAGATCATATACCTCACTACCTCGAGGTCAAATGTTGCAAAGCAATGCATGTTCCAAGTGATTGTTTTTGGCATTTTTTGTCCCACCACCACTTCCCCTTGAGACACACCTCACGATGCCGGAAATGCAGTCCCGTTCCCAAACGAACAGGGCAACT